AGTCTTTCAGTGAAAGCAGTTGGATCCCACCAGACTTGGCCCCACTCTGGCAGTGAGTGTCCAGATTCATTGCAGCTCTGCCCCGGATTCTAGCCACTTCTCTCTAGCTGGCATTTCCCCATGTCTGAGTGGGCTGGAAATTGCAAACATTGACATATCACTTCTCGTAGGCACCACTGAGCTATTCCTGTAGACACTCTTCCAAGGTTCTTTGGTAATATTCCATTTTCATTCCTGTGGTCTGTCATGGAGCGGGTCGCTCTGTGCCAGGGCTGTCTCCCTTGTCCTTCCTTTAGGACTTGTATCTTCCCAGATATGCATAGTTGTCCAACTGGGGCTACAGGGAGAGACATGGGTGCCTGATAAAGCAGATGTGACTCCGGTCACAGCAAGAGGGGGGCTGGCCCTGTGAAGTGGGAGATGGCTCAATGTCAGGGCTGGGTTCACATCATACCAGGAACCTTTCCAATGCCCACCATTGTATTCATATCAAGGACTGGCCATAAATCATTTATTCTTTTAGTGCCATTCTTGACATTTTGCCCTGTTATCATTCCTCCTCTGACTTCTGGCCAGGGCTAATCCACCCGTGTCTGGCCTCCAGGTTTCCCTATTCCTTTCCACTGCTCCCTCTGAAGTGCTCCCCAAAACTGGGCTACACAGAATGGGCTGTGAGATGTGCACATATCCTAAGTGGTTCATGAATACAGATACTGGGTTGCAGTTGGTTTTCCAGGGTCCAAACACCCTTCTACACATCACTCATGTGCCACCAGCAGACAAGCCCCTGCTGAGTCATTTGTAGAGAATTGAGTTGGGAGACCCAGCCTCTGTCCTGTGCTGCATCCTATTGCTGTTCTTGCCTACAGTAGACCTCCGCATGTATGTTCTTCATTGTATGGCCCTGCAGGCTCAGTACTGTGTGACAGACCCTCCTCACCGTAACTTTAGCCCCTTGTCCCCCCGACCTGTGTGCTTATCCCTGGGTTTGTAAGGTAAACCTTAGTGATGGAGCTGCCCTCTCCCACTGGTCTACGTGTAGTTCACCATTTTTCTGCTTTCAGGTTGTCAGTTTTGAGTGGAGGATAGGGAGACACACTCTCAAGGCATGTCACAACTCAGGATTCTCAAGGCAGGTCCAACCACCCAGAATATCTATCCTTGTGGGATGTGTGACCCAGTCTTGCAAGACATTTTACACCTGGTTAAGCACCAGGAAATATCCCCCAGGCAGAAATTACCTATGTGCGCAGCACTTGGGAGTCAGCTCTGGCTCAGTGTTAAGTATTCACCAGCGACAAAAGCGGCACAGTGCAGAGAAACACCTCAGAATGGATGGAAAGTGGGCTTTGTTTGTTAAGATTGCGGAGTCCAGGGCAACCCAGGTGGCTAAGCGGTTTAGCGCCGCCTTCAGCCCGGGGCGTGATCCTGGAGACCCGGGATTGAGTCCCGCATCGGGTTCCCTGTATGGAGCCTGCTTCTCCCTCTGCCTGTGTCTCTGCCTCTCTGTGTGTCTCTCATGAATAAATAAATAAAATATTAAAAAAAAAAAAGATTGCGGAGTCCACGTGTCAGAGAATCCCTTCACCTGTGGGGATAGTGGAAAGAAGCTCCTCCTTAGCTTGGACCTTCTCCAGCACCAGACCACTCACAGCAAAGGGAATGCACCCAGAAGCATTGAGTGCAGGGAGGTCTTTTACACTAAAGAAGGGCAAGAAAGGTGCACTGAATGTGGGAGAACCTTTAGCTACAAAAATAGGCTTGTTAAGCACCAGAGAGTTCACACTGGAGAAAAACCTTATGCGTGCAGTGAACGTGGGAAAAACCACATCAGAAGGGCCTACCTTGTTCCACATAAAAAACTTCACACAGGAGAATGAAACTAGTGTGGGAAAACCTATAGCAGCAAACACACATTTGCTTAACACCAGAGGGTCCACACTGGAGAAGGGCCTTATGAGTGCAGCAGATGTAGGAAATTGTTTAGTTATAACTCCAGTCTTATGGTACACCAACTCATACACAGTAGAGCAAGGCCATATGAGTACAGTGAATGTAGTAAATTATTACTCCAACCTTATCATGCACTGAAGAATTAACATTATAGCAAGGCCTTATGAATGCAGCAGATGTGGGAAAGCCTTCAGCTACATGCACAGACTTGTTCAACATAAGAGAATTCACAATAGAGAAAGACCTCATGAGTGTAGTGAATGTGATAAAGCCTTGAGCCAGAAATACAGACTTGTTCAGCACCAGAAAAGCCACACTAGTGAGAGATCTTATGAATGTAGCAAATGTGGAAAATTCTTTAGGCAAAGCTCTGGCCTTACTGCACACCAAAGACAGGTGGGACAGCCTTAAGCTAATGGCCTTTCCTTTTTTTTTTTCTTTCCAGATTTTATTTATTTGTGAGAGAGAGCACACAAGCAGTGGGGAGGGGGAGAAGCAGGCTCCCCACTGAGGAGGAATCCCAACATGGGACTTGGTCCCAGGACCCTCAGATTATGACTTGAGCTGAAGGAAGCCGCTTAACCGACTGAGTCACCAAGGCACCCCTAATGGCCTTTCCTTATTTGATACTGGAATGTTCAAACTGGACAAAGGCCTTTGGAGTGCAGAGTGTGTGCTATCTGCTTGGTTAACATGCGTGGCACCAAGGAGAAGTTCAGACAGTAGCCTTTCTGAAGTACCCATCAACCAGAAGGTATATCTCATACATCTGAATAAGCTTTCGGGACCTGCATTGCACTTTCTGACCTGCCCAAAGCCCATGCCAGAGTTAAATCACTGCCAGTACCTGTGGCAGAAACCATCTCACCTATACTGGCTGACAAATGTACATCAGGTTACTCAATATGCTCAGGGAAGGTGGACCGCTCTACTCACTCTTTCCATTTCCCTGGAGGAAATCATGAGTTCACTGGCCATTGAAGTTCACCATAATTACATTCACACACTGAGTGTGATTAGTAGAGTTTGGGAAACAAACTAGAGAGGTCATGCCCCATCCAAAGGTGCTTCCAAAAATATTCTGGTCACTGTAACAGTGAAGGATGAGGATATAGAGATAGTCTCACAAAATCTAGATTTATGTCTCTTATTGACAAGGTCGCTGGCAGAGCAAATCTTAAGGTTTTCTGAATAGCTGATGCTATTTGGTCTTTTTTACTTCAAAGCTGCCATTACACAGGCAAGAAAATGGAGACAGGAATAAGAGAGATCATAGCCCAAGGGTGTGACTTTTGTGACTCTCAGACTGTCTTTATTCTTTCTTTCCATTGAATCAGGGCTGCTGCCAAGGGATGAGGATAATTATGGTTGATCCAGTTTTTCAGGAGAAGCAGGAAATCCAGATTTTTATCCGGAACTATTTTTTAAAAGCTCTATTGAGATATCATTGATGTACCATGAACTGTGCACAAAGTATAAAATGTTATGTTTTTTCTTATATATATGCCCATGAAACCATCACCATAATCATGGTGCATCGAATGTATTTTTCACTCTCAAAATTACCTCATCCCCCTTTAGAATCCCTCTGTCCCTCCCTCCCTGGTTCCCCATACTCATGAGCATTGATTTACTATCTTCCATTATAAACTTCCTTTTCCAGAATTTTATATGAATGGAATACAAAATGTTTACTCTTTCGCCTTTTTTCCCTCTGACACAGTAATTATTTTAAGATTCCTCCATGCTACATGTATGAGTACTTTGTTAGATATTTGGGTTGATTCTAGTTTAGAGCTTTTATGAATATAGATGCTATGGAGATTCATGTATGAATCTTTCTCTTGGGTTAATACTTAGGAGCAAAAGGCTTGAGTGTCTCATCTGTACCCATGGCATTTTAATTTATGGAGGTGATAGAGTGACGACACAGAGGGGTCAGTGCCAGGTGAAAGAATTTATTACTTTGTTTCCCAAGGGAAGGGGGAATACCATGCTATGCGGGGCCACACAGCACCAGAGTTGGTCAGGATGCAGACAAAATGAGGGGAAGGCATAGACCACAGCCTTCATTGGAGTTTCATCAGGAGGGGCAAGGCAGGACAGAGTAAACAGTTTAGGACTGGCTAGTTTAAATAATCCCCATGGGCATTAAACCATAAAATTAATCTCTAATTGTCTAGCATCTGACCCTGGGATGATTTATACCAGACGAATACTGGCTTGATGTGTCTGAGCCAGTGTGTTAAACAAGGAGGTAGTTGAAGCCTTGGACTCCGGTTTGTTGGTTTGTATATGAGAGACATGCTCCTGGCTAAACCCTTTACTATCTCAAGAACAGGATGGCCCTGGGACGCATGGTCTCTTCTTGGACAGCAAGTTTTTTAAGATGTCAAAACATCAATAAAGAAAATTTAAAAAATGATAAATGCACATGGGTCAAAGAGTAAGCAGATGTGTATCTCTTTATGAACTGAAAAACTGCTCCAAAATGCTCATACCATTTTGCATTCCCACCAGCAGTGTATGAGAATTTTAGTGCCATTAATAGCACTTGATATGATCAGGTTTAATTTTAGCCATTCTTGTTAGTTGTATAGTGGTATTTCTGTATGACTTTATTTTGTATTTCCCTAATGACTCATGTTTAGAATTTTTATATATGCTTACTGCCACCCTTCTCTTTGCTTAAGTGTTCACATCTTTTGCCTGCTAACATTTCATTCTTCTGTTATTGAGTTTTGAGAATTTTTTTAAAAAGATTTTATTTATTTATTCATGAGAAACACACAGAGAGAGGCAGAGACAGGCAGAGGGAGAAGCAGGCTCCATGCAGGGAACCTGATGGTGGGACCTGATCCCGGGACTCCAGGATCATGCCCTAGGCTGAAGGCAGGCACTAAACTGCCGAGCCACCCAGGTGTTCCCTGAGTTTTGAGAGTTCTTTTTTTTTTTTTTTTTAAGAGATTCAAAGAATCTCTCTTTTTTTTAAAAAATTTATTTATTTATGATAGTCAGAGAGAGAGAGAGAGAGAGAGAGGCAGAGACACAGGCAGAGGGAGAAGCAGGCTCCATGCACTGGGAGCCCGATGTGGGATTCGATCCCGGGTCTCCAGGATCACGCCCTGGGCCAAAGGCAGGCGCCAAACCGCTGCGCCACCCAGGGATCCCAGTTTTGAGAGTTCTTAATAACTTAGGTTCAAGTCCATAACCAGATATTTGTCAATGTAGTATGGCTTGTTTCTCTGGGTTTTTATTTTTTGTTGTTGTTCTCTTAACAGAGTTCTTCCTATAGCAGAAAATTTTAATACTGTCCAGTGTATTCCCCCCCCTTTTACTGAATGGTGTCTTATATAAGAAGTCTTTGCCTAACATAAGATGAGAAAATTCTCTCCTGTGTTCTTAATGGAGGGTTTATAGTTTTAGGCCATTTTGAGGTAATTCTAGTATTGTGTAAAATTTGGGATCAGAGTTTTTTTTTTTTTTTAAAAAAGACACCTAATTATTTCATAACATTCATTAGAAGGGCTATCTTTTTTCCACTAATTAATTGCCTTTGCACTTTTCTTAAAAATCAATTGATCTTAAAAGCTACTCTTTCTCTGGACTTTTTTTCAATCTACATTTTTGCAAATATCTTAAAGTTTTAACATGATTTTTAAATATTTCTTAAAATCAGGCAATGTGGTTTTCCCACTTTGTGATTCTTAAATTTGTTTCAGCTATTCTAAGTCCTTTGCATTTCCATATGAATTTTAGACTCTTCTTGTCAATTTCTAAAGCATGCTTGGGTTTTGATCGGGATGAGAAATAGATCTTTCTTACTTTTTAATTCAAGTATAATTAACATGCAGTGTTATATCAGTTTCAGGTGTAAAATATAATGATTCAACAATTCTGTACACATTACTTAGTGCTCATCATAAATGTAATCTTTATCCCCTTCACTTATTTCACCTATTCCCTCAACTCCCTGCTGCAACCACTAGTTCTCTGTGTGAATCTTTTTCTCTTTGTTCATTTGTTACCTAAATTCCATATATGAAGTCATATGGTATTTGTCTTTCTCTGCCTAACTTATTTCACTTAGCATTATAGACTATCCATTTTACAAATGGCAAGATTTTATTCTTTTTTTTATGACTAATATTCCGTTGTGTGTGTGTGTGTGTATCACCTCTTTATTCATCTATAGATTGATACTTGGGTTGCTTATATATCTTAGCTATTGTAAATAGGGGTGCAAATATCTTTTTGACTTTATTTTTGTATTATTAGGGTAAAAGCCCAGTAGTGGAATTACTGCGTCATATGGTAGTTCTATTTTTATTTGGTAGTTTTATTTTTAATTTTTTGAGGAACCTCCTACTCCTTTCCACAGTGGCTGTACCAATGTGTATTCCCAGCAACAGTGCACAAGGGTTCTTTTTCCCTCACCAACAATGTCTCCTGTGTTTTGATTTTAGCTATTCTGACAGGTGTGAGGTGTTATCTCATTGTGGTTCTGATTTGCATTTCTCTGATGATGAATGATGTTGAGCATCTTTTCATGTATTCACTGGCCATCTGTATGTTTTCTTTGGAGAAATATCTGTTCATGTCTCTACTCATTTTTAAATTGGATTGTTTCTTGGTTTTGGGTTGTGTAAGTTCTTTATGTATTATGGATACTAAACCTTTACTGGATATATCATTTCCAGATATCTTTTCCCATTCAGTAGGGCTTTTTGTTTTGTCAGTTATTTCTTTTGCTGTGCAGTTTATTATTTTGATGTACTCTTAGTAGTTTGTTTTTGCTTTTGTTTCCCTTGCCTTAGGAGACATATTTAAAAACGTTGCTATGGCCAATGTCAGAGAAGTTATTCCCTGTGTTCTCTTCTAGGATTTTTATGGTTTTAGGTCTCACATTTTTGGTTTTTAATCCACTTTGGGGTTTTTTTGTGTATGGTAATAAGCGGTCCAGTTTTCCCAACATCATCTGATGAAGAGACTCTTTCATATTGCATATTATTGCCTCAATTGTTGTAGATTGGCCATATAATCATGGGTTTATTTCTGACCTCTAGTCTGTCTTACTGACCTATGTGTCTATTTTCATTCTAGTACCATACTGCTTTGATCACTATAGCTCTGTAGTATTATCTTGAAATCTGGAATTGTGATATCTCTAGCTTATTTATTTAAAAATTTTTATTTATTTATTTATTCATGATAGTCACAGAGAGAGAGAGAGGCAGAGACACAGGTAGAGGGAGAAGCAGGCTCCATGCACCGGGAGCCCAACGTGAGATTCGATCCCAGGTCTCCAGGATCGCGCCCTGGGCCAAAGGCAGGCGCTAAACCGCTGCACCACCCAGGGATCCCTATTATAGAGAGAGAGCAAGAGAGAAAAAGCAAGCGCACAAGTAGTGGGAGCAGGAGAGAGAGAAGCAGGTTCCCTGCCAAGCAGGGAGGTTTGGACCAGTGTGTTTTCATTTTTACTTGTTCCTATGTACTTTTTTTTTTCTTTAGAGATCTTATTTATGAGAGAGAGAGAACAAGCAGGGTGAGAGGCAAAGGGAGATGGAGAAGCAGACTCCTCACTGAGCACAGAGACCAATGTGGGACTTGATCCAAGGTCCTGGAGATCATGACCTGAGCTAATGACAGACACTTAACCATCTGAGCCACCCAGGCACCCCTGTTTCTATGTAACTTTTATTCTTTAATCTCCTGGTTGACCCACTCATTGTTAGTATTTAGTTCCATGTTATTTAAGCACCCTGTATTTATGGTCTTTCCAGATTTTTTTTTTCTCGTGGTTGGGTGCATAAATAATTTACAATCACTGTATCTTCTTGTTGGATTGTATCTTTGTAATAACATAGTATCCTCCTTGGTCTCGTTACAGACTTTGTTTTGAGATCTATTTTGTCCAATTTAAGTATTGCTACTCTGCTTTCTTTTGACATTGATTTGCATGATGTTTCTTTACTCCCACTTTCAATTTTCAGGTGTTTAGGTCTGAAATTAGTCTCTTGTGGGCAGGATACAGATGGGTCATGTTTTTCTTATCCATTCTATCACCCTGTGTCTTAGGATTGGTGTATTTAGTTCATTTGTATTCAGAGTAATTATTGATACGTATTTATTGTCATTTTATTATTTGTTTTGTGGGTGTTTCTGAATATTTCTCTGATTTATTTTAAAGGTTTTATTTACTCATGAGAGAGAGAAAGAGGCAGACACATAGGCAGAGGGAGAAGCAGGCTTACTACCCATGAGGAGCCTGATGCAGGACTCAATCCCAGGACCCTGGGATCACGACCTGAGCCGAAGGCAGATGCTCAACCACTGAGCCAACCAGGTACCCCTCTCTGATTCTTGTCTTTCATGGCTTGCTGATTTTCTTTCGTGATATATTTGGATTTCTTTTTGTTTCTTGCATATATATTAGTGCTTTTTGATAGTTACTATTAGGTTTGTATATGACTTCTTCATAAATCTACATTAAGTTGATGGTTATTTTAAGTTTGAACTCATTGTTTACCTTTCTTCTCAAATTTTAGGTATATGTTGTCATGTTTTGCATCCTTTTACCTTGTGATTTCCTTGACTTTTTTTTTTTTCCACAGAAGTTATCTATTTTTACTGCTTTGTGTTTCCTATGCCCATATTGTCACTTTTGGTCTCTCCTTTCCACCAAAAAGTCTCCTTGGATATTTCCTGCAAGGCTGGTTTAGTGGTCATGAACTCCTTTAGTTTTTGTCAGGGAAACTTTTTTTTTTTTTTTTTAACAACAAACCTTTATTTATTTGAGAGGGAGAGCACAAGCAGGCAGAGCAGCAGGTAGAGGGAGAGAGAGAAGCAGACTGCCTGCTGTGCAGAGAGCCTGACATGGGCCTGACCCTGGGATCATGACCTGAATCAAAGGCAGACACATAACCAACTGAGCCATCCAGGTGCCCATGTCTGGGAAACTATTAATCTCTCCTTCTATTCCGAATCATAGCCTTACTGGATAGACTGTTCTTGGCTGCAGATTTTTCCTATCTAGCACTTTGAATAGATCATTCCATGTTCTACTGGCTTACAACATTTCTGCTGAAAAATTCCATGCTAGCTTTATTGGGTTTCCCTTGTATGTTACTGTTTTGTCTCTTTTAAATTTATTTATCACTATATCATGACGTAGGCCAAAGGCAGCCCAGACTGAGCCACCCAGGTGCCCCTTCAAATAGATTTTTGTGTCCACTTCTCTTTCCTCTTCTAAGAACCGTGTAATATGAATGTTATTACATTTGATGGAATCACTGAACTCCTTAAGTCTATTCTTGGTTTGCATAATTCTTTTCTTTCTTCAGCTTGATTACTTTCCAGTACTCTGTCTTCTAGGTCATTAATTTGTTCCTCTGCTTCTTCCAGCCTGCTGTTCATTCTGTCAAGCATGCTTCTCATTTAGTTTGAGTTGATGTTGTTCTTCATCTCTGTTAAGGGTCTCATTCGTGTTTTCCACTCTTCTGAAGTCCAGCGAGTATTCTGATTGCTTTCTATTTTCTTATTGCTTATCCTATTGCTTTTCTCTATCAAGCATGTTACTTATATCTGCTGCTTAAGTTAGATCTCTGGCTGTAGTCTTGTCCTATTCTTTCATTTGAAATAAATTTCTCTCTCCTTACTTTGTCTCTCTGTTTCTCTGTAGGAAGCACACCTCGGTCTTCTTGCCCTTGAAAGTAGTGACTTTATTAAAAAGAGGTCCTGGAGTACCCTGTAGTGCAATATTCCCTGTTCAGAATCTGGCCCTTCAGAAGAGTATCCTATGTGTGTTGCTTATACCCTGTCGCATCTGAGTCACTTTTTCCTTTCATCATGGTAGTGTGCACGGACTCTCTGCCAGTTGTGGGCTATGCTTGTTCTCTGTGGTGTTACTGGTCCCAGGAAAGCTTTGAGCTTGGTTATTTTCCATTAGTCTTCCAAGTCATTAATTTACTTCTCTGTGTCACTGAGACTACTATTTATTCCATAGTGTTTTTAATTTATAGCATTATTGATCACTGATCAGTTCTTTTGTATCTTTGTGTTAAATGTCTCAACAATTTCCTCTATTCTCTTCTCTAGTGAGTATCTTTATCATAATTAAGTCCTCTATCAGGCATATTACTGATTTCCATTTAGCTTACTTCTCTTGCTGCGGTTGGTCCTCTTCTTTAAGACATATTTCTGTTTTCTCATTTTGTCTGTTTCTGTGTTTTGAAAAATAAGCTTATTTTGATGTTAATAATAGTCTTATGAAGATGTCATCCTTTATTGCTCTGCAGAGCAGTGTCCCCTATGTTTGTTATGCGTGCTCTGCTATTGAGTCTTGGCCTCTTTTTCCTTCAGTCCAGTTGTCTGCAGATGCTTTCATTGCCTATTGTGGGCAGTGTTTGATCCCCAATGGGAGTGGGGAGCATTTTAACAAGGTGTGCAGTGGTCTGCCTGTGAAATGATAGCTGTCCCTGCTGGAACTGAGGTCCTGCCTGCAAAACACACAGGTTTGGACATGTGGCATTGGCAGGGTTTGTGCTGGTCTTCTAGTAAATGGGGCCTAGAGTAAGGTGAGCTGGACTAGAAAGGAGTGAGGTGAGCAGGACTAGAAAGGAGTGAGGTGAGCAGGACTAGAAAGGGCAGATCTGGTGAAGTGTTGTGGGAGTGGCAGGCAAGTTAGGTAATGAGTATTGGTGCTATATTGTTTCCCTCAGGTAGCTGTTGTTTATGCTGAGGTTGGAGAAGGGAAATGGTGCCTGGCAGCTCCTTTGTTCACTCATGATTCCTGTCTGTTGAGGTCATGCTCTGAGATAAGCAAATCACTCTCACTTTCCTCTGCTCTTGGTTTTCCAAACTGCTGGTTCTATGATATTCCTGTATTGGCTGTTTGTCATGTGCTGTCTCTTTAAGGATGGGGATCCTGCTTCCTAACATCCTCTCTGCTCTCCCAGAGCCAAGCCATCTATTCTTTGGAATTCCAGTCTTTAGCTCCTGCTGGTTATAGGAATTCTTCAAGTTTTGGTCCCTCTTGCTTTCAAAGGTAAATGTTATGCATACCCATCCTGTATGTGGATTTGTGGGGTGAAAGTCTGTTTTTCATCCTTCTCAGTGCTATTAACCCCCTCCCCACCATGGATGGCCATGTCCATTTTGCTCCTAAACCACATCTTCACCTTGCCTGCCTTCTTTGATTGGTCTCTTTTCTACCTTAAAAAAAAATTTTTTAAAGATTTTTTTTATTCATGAGAAACACAGAGAGGGAAGCAGAGACATAAGCAGAGGGAGAAGCAGGCTCCCTCTGGGGAGCCTGGTGTGGGATTCTATCCCAGAATCCTGGGATCACAACCTGAGCCAAAGGCAGACGGTCAACCACTGAGCCACCCAGGTGCCTCTAAGAAAAAAAAAAATTAACATAGGCTCCATGCCCAATGATCTCATGACCCTGAGATCAAGTGTTGCCTGCTCTACTACGCCAGCTAGACACCTCTCTTTTCTACCTCCACCTAGTTGTGTAGTTTATTCTGCTAGTTTTTGGAGTGTCCTGAGTTATTTCCACTGATGCGTTATCTAGTTGTATCTGTGGGATGAGGTGCACTTAAGGCCTCCTGCTCTGCATCTTCACAGCCCCATAAGTTCTTATTTCTTGTATAATAAACTATTAGTTCCTTTTAGTAGATTCTGGTAATATGTTACTAGGTCAAAGGATACATGTATCATACATTTTAAAGTGCTGGTTGCCAGATTACTATTCAAAATATTTATAAAGGATTGACAGCTCCACCAGCAATACAAGTTCCTGTAACAGTTGATCTTGAGTCATTTTATTTTATGAGACATTTTAACTTTTATTGTAAGGGGTTATATTACATCTCTTGCTAGAGGAAAAATTTTTCCCATGCTGTCGGAATTGAAGGTAGTATCATGTGTTTGTAATAAGTAGTGTTACAACTTGCCTGCCATCTGAAAATTTAAGTTCCCCAAGTTGTGTAATAAGTTTAAAAAGTGTTATTTTTTTAAAACAGAATCCAATTTTAGGATGAGACCTATTTATGCTAAATATAGTTTGACCATCTGCCTATGATAGGCATGGTCACATTTCTCTTAATTATGCAGTGATCAGTTTTAATGCTTTATTCATTTAGGATAGCACCTCTAGCATAGGAGCTGGAATTCACTAATATGAAGAGTTGAATGGCCTTGGACAATAGAAGGATCCCCAACCCTTATCTTTAAGGAGGCAGGGTTAAAAAGTTAGGAGAGATTTACCAGGGCTCATAACAGTGAGCGTACATGAGGAAAAGACTGAAAGGAAAGCACAGAATTCTACTTGGCTCCTTGTTGCATGTAAATACTGGGATTTCTGAATTTGAATCCATATGCAAAATGAATTTGAGAACACTTACCTTGTTTTGTGCCACGCTTTCTGCTATGTTGCACATTATTTTGGGATTGATTGGTTGAGTCTGTCTTGTTCCTGATTCTGTCCACAATCACACTTATGGTTAAGTGCTTAAAAAATTAGAAGAATGAGTTTTGTTTTTTGGGGGTGGAGCTAGATTTTGTTTTTGTCATACCTGAAACTAGTGTCCCACTTAAAACCTTTTTAAAAATTATTCAAGTATAGCTGATGTGCAAGTGCTAGGCAAGTTTCAGCTGTACAACAGTGATCCCACAATTCTACACATTTAGCAATGCTCACCGTAAGTGGAGTTACCATATCAACATATATCACTGTAGTATTACTGACTGTATTCTCTATACTGTGCTTTTTACCTCTAAGACTTATTTTATAATTGGAAGTTTGTACTTCTTAATCTTGTTCACCTATTTCACAATCCCCTCCCCCTCACCTGCTCCCCATGGCAACCATCAGTTCTATATATTTATGAATTTGGCTTTGTCCATTTTTTTTTTTAGTTTATTTTTTTTTTAAGATTTTATTTACTCATGAGAGACACACAGAGATAGAAGCAGAGGGAGAAACAGGTTCCATATCCATGCGGGGAGCCCAACGTGGGACTCAATCCCCGGTCTCCAGGATCACACCCCTGGCTGCAGGCGGCGCTAAACCACTGAGCCACGCGGACTGCCCATATTTTTAGTTTACATGTGTCGGTGAAATCGTATGGCATTTGCCTTTTTCTTTCTTACTTCACTGACTGTAATACCCTCTAGATTGATCCATCCATGTCATTATAAATGGCAAGATCTCATTCTTTATGGGTGAGCAATATTCCATTGGAGATATATATATATATATACACACACACACACACCATATCCTTACCCATTCATTGATCAGTGGACTCTTAGGTTGTATACATATTTTGGCTCAAAAAT